TGCACTCAATTATAATGCGATAAATGATATACTATTAGCAAAATTATAATTAAATATTTTTAAACTAATTAAAAACACATTAAATAAAGTGAATGCGAGGGGGAGGGGGAGCGGGGGTAGAATGACAACAAGAGTAGAGTAACAGTGTTTATGAATGGGAGCCAAGAGTTGAGTCAATGTATGGAAACGTCACTCAAAGACAAAGCATTAAACGATTGAATCGTTGGTTCACTTCTATCCGCCATTGACTGCAAAGCGAACGCTAACTAAACGTACGTATCGTTCGATCCCTTCATTCAATCACTCATTTAATTGTCACTTAATTTCTCTGCAATTAATTGCATTGCATTTGATTGCAATCACCGACTGATCCACACATTCACGCCATTCAATCCGCGGTCTCGTCGTTGGATTGATTACAATCACTAATAGTGACTCACCTTTTGTTGTCACCTCTTTTTTTTTATTGCTTGCGTGGATCAGTTCCGGTGATCTCTTTTGATATCCGGTTGTAATCTGTGATTGACTTTCAGGCGAATTGGTTTCTGGTGTAAAGCGTTGGCCACTAATCGCACTCAGAGATAGCCTTTGAATCGTTGTATCGGTTTGTGTGGTGTCCAGTCGCCACCAGATATATCCATAACGTCATAACCCACAAGCCTGTGTTGCCTTGGCCACTCTCCTCTCTGCCCATAACGACCAGTTACGAGCCCTCCTTTCCTACGGTTGCCGAGAGGAGCAGGTGAGTTAGGTTGGACTCACAGTCAGTCCGGTCTAAGAGCCGCCACCCGATGGGTGCCTCCGAGTAGCATAAGAAGAGACTTGCAATCCCTAAACCACACAACCATTCATACAATCCATACCAATGTTAACGTAATCGACGACAAACAGAATGTCATTTTCCGTAGAGTTCGGGGGTTTGTATTCACTCATTGCATGTCTCGTCAACTGATCTAATGGTGTGTATTATGTATTGTTGGACAGAATCCTCAATAAGATTACTCCCGAAAAGTTCAAAAAGTTAAGTAAAGAGCTGTTGGCGGTGGGCCTCGACTCGCCCGCCATTCTCAAGGGTCTCATTCTCTTGATCTTCGACAAGGCGTTGGAAGAGCCGAAGTACAGCTGTATGTACGCCCAGTTATGTCGAATCATCAGTGAAGAGGCGCCCAATTTCGAGTCCAACAGAGACCACACTAACGTCGGCCCACTCAACAAAGTAAGTGCACCATAATGTCTGCCCTATAACTGATGCACTAATGGTTGGACGTGTTAAGACCTTTTGTCGCCTCCTATTGGCCAAGTGTCAGGACGAGTTCGAGAACAGGCGTCGGGCGAGTGAGGCGTTCGACAACAGAGATGGACCGCTCACTGCTGTGGAAGAGGAGCAGCGCTCTGTCGCCAAACACAAGATGTTGGGAAACATTAAGTTCATCTGCGAATTGGGGAAACAAAACCTTTTGCAGGAATCGATTCTTCATCTCTGTATCAGACAATTGCTGTCCAAACAGACGAGGGATCAGTCCATACAAGAAAAGGCTCAAGACTTGGAATGTCTCACTCAGATAATGAAGACCGTCGGACGGCTTCTCGACAACGAGAGGGCAAAGTCTTTGATGAATCAATACATTGAGCGAATTGAGTACTATTCGACTCACAATGAACTCAGTTCTCGGATCAGATTTATGTTACAAGACGTCCTCGAACTCCGCAGGAATAATGTATGCGTCCATTGATTCAATTTGTTTGCTATAATTATAAATGTATTTGATTTGTGCCAACAGTGGGCTCCCCGTCGAGTGCAACGCGAAGCCGGACCTAAAACTATACTTCAGATACGCGAAGAGGCGGCGTTTCTGATGCCGCAAATAAACGGAGGTGTAGTCATGTGAAAGCCTGGCGAATCGAGAGCCCATGATTTCGGGCCTGTCGCTCTCCTCCTGAAGGACTACGGAGTTTACCGAATATTGCGCATATCATTAGGTTTACAGTTAGGGACGGGTCCCGGAGCTATCAATGACGCCTATCATCCAAACCATAACGTCTCGCACTTAGGCCGCAGAAATCAGAACAACAATTACAACAATCAGTACCAAAACCACGCGAAACGCGATCAGATGAACACTAGACAACAGCAACAACAACAACAGCCAACTAATGCGAGTCCTCCCACTGTCAACAGCACCGGTGGGCGAGAAGTTCCGCCGAGGTTTCAGAAATTACAACAACCGGCGGTTGCCATCACTAATACCTCTATTAATGCCAATCAAATACAACCACAATCGGTACCATTAAAGCCATTGGCTTCTATGGCCGCTCAGAGTCACGGCTTTGACTCGAGTGGCATCTCTTTACGTCCCGCTATTAACTCTATGGTCTCTAAACCTAATATTCCCTTAACTAAGCAGTCGTCGAACAAAGACTACGGCGTTTATTTGCCTCCACATCAGTACACTTTCGGACCGCTTAGCTCTCGGGTACTAAAGCCCGGACAGCGAGAGGAGGACTTCCTGATGCCTCAAATGGCTTATAACGCGTATAGTCTAGGTTTACAGTTAGGGACGGGTCCCGGAGCTATCAATGACGCCTATCATCATAATGTCTCGCACTTAGGCCGCAGAAATCAGAACAACAATTACAACAATCAGTACCAAAACCACGCGAAACGCGATCAGATGAACGCTAGACAACAGCAACAACAACAGCCAACTAATGCGAGTCCTCCCACTGTCAACAACAGCACCGGTGGGCGAGAACTTCCGCCGAGGTTTCAGAAATTACAACAACCGGCGGTTGCCATCACTAATACCTCTATTAATGCCAATCAAATACAACCACAATCGGCGCCATTAAAGCCATTGGCTTCTATGGCCGCTCAGAGTCACGGCTTTGACTCGAGTGGCATCTCTTTACGTCCCGCTATTAACTCTATGGTCTCTAAACCTAATATTCCCTTAACTAAGCAGTCGTCGACTAACATCAATAATATCAAAAACAATAACGCGAATAATATAATGAATGAATTTAGTAAAACTGTTGAAACCATTATTGAAAAGCCGAATATCAATAAGAATGCGAATCAAAGCAATAAAGAGGCCATTCTTAAGAAGACCGAAGACACTCTGCAGGAGTTTTTGTCGGAAAATCAAAACATTGATGACGTTATCATTAAATTCAAAGAAATGAAAATCCCTAAAAAGTTTGTCAATTGTTGTCATATTAGGAATTGTATGCATAACTAAACTATTGTTATTCCAACACAGCTTTCAATTGGATGTTTTGGTCACTATTCTTAAGAAATCATTGGAAGCGTCGGAGAGTGAAAGAGAGACGTCTACTAAGCTATTGAATCAATTGAAGGCTGAAGACGTTATCGGCGCCAATATATTCATGAATGTATGGCTCAATACATGTGAAAACTGATTGAATGTAATTTAATTGATTTGTTTTACTCTCTGAAGGCTTTCAAGGATTTAATCAATCGAATTGAAGATTTGGAAACATATATACCTCGAGTTAAGTCAAATGTGGCGGCATTTATGTCTTCGGCTATCGTCGACAATGTGGTGACACTGAAGGAGGCGAGCGAACCATTAGAGGGCGGACAGCATTACCCACTATTCATGTTATGTCTGCAACACTTGCATAAGACTAAAGGCAATGCGTGGCTCTTCAATGCGTTCACTGAAAGTAAAATCAATTTGATTCAAATGTTGCCCGAAAACGACCGAAACAAAGAACGATTGGCTGACATATTGGAAGACAGAGCGCTTGGATTCCTATATCCGATGCTTCGCATAGAGTCTGACCTCTGGAAACAACTGACACATAATGACTGCACTCCCACTTCATTGTATCGTTGGCTTAAAGATAATGTCGATCCGTCTCTTCAGAACAGTTGCGAATTTATTCGCGTTTTGTTCACAGCTTTGCTGAAGTATATTAATAACGAGGTCTCCAAACTGTCCATCACTGATACCGATAGTCAGACTCAGACCCAAACCAATGGAACAAACATTACTGATAATGAAAGACAGATATTGACTAAATTTGAACATCTCTTGAAGGCGTTTCTTAACGAAAAGCATTCTTTACAACTCATAGCTCTTTACGCTCTTCAGAGCTATTGCTTTGGTTTGAATTTCCCGAAAGGTTTGTCATTAATGTTATAATACTAAATGTAATGATTATTGAGTACTAATTGATTTGTTACCGCAATGTTAGGAATGCTTTTGCGTTGGTTTTTAATGCTTTACGATTTGGAAGTGATTGAAGAGGAAGTATTCATCAAATGGAAAGAAGACATCAATGATGAATACCCGGGCAAAGGGAAGGCATTATTTCAAGTGAATCAATGGCTCACGTGGTTAGAGGAGGCCGAAGAGGAGGAGGAGGAAGAGGACACCGAACAGATCCTCAACTGATTTTATCGCTATTTAATTATTGAGACAAAACATGATAACAATCTATGGCTTCTAAAATCTGGCCTCCATTTGCTTTATTATAAGCTGAATGTTTGTCTCGACTCTAAACTAAACTACTATTCATTTCTTTTTGGATTTCTCTCTCAATTTCTTTTTTATAAACACTTCTATCAAAAGTAGAATAAATGGATTCTTTGTCTATAATCTCATTTAATTCTTATTTTATACTGTTTTACACAAACCTTTATAATGTCTTCTCAGTTATTACTCGATGTTATGTTTAAAACAAATAGACTTCAAAAACAAAACTAAGAATTATTTACATGTTTTCGCTATTTTTAATACTTCTTTGAAGGAATCAGTTCTGGAATTTGATTACATTTTATGAATATATTTATTAAAATATTAATAGATATGAGAAATGATGACAATTGAAGTTATTTCATAATTATTGTGTCTTAAAACATGCATTTCTATTGCTTTTTAAATGAAATACATTACAAGCGCTAACCAAATGAGAAGTGAATTAATGGGATTAATATATACTCGATATTGAATTTGTTTTATTGGGTTAAATAATTATGATATGAATAGTGAGTTGTGGTCACAGCTGGGGTGCGAATGGTTTGCAAATTAATATTTGTAGTGAATATCAATTGAAAGCAGTGTTTCTCTTCTTCATTGTGGAGAACTCTCCGAATCCCTCGTCGAACACGTCTTCATCGAAACCCTTTGAATCGATTTCCGGGAACTTTCTTCGCATTCGAAACATATTGTTATACAAGTGTTGTCTTAACGCCACGTTTTGCGGACCATTCCTTTGTTTTGCGTTCGGGTTTATCATCCTTTGGTTTAAAGGGAGCCATAAATTGTTTAAAACATTGCTTTCATCACTTAATTCGTCTTTTAATGAATATTTGGTCAAAGAATTTGTTTCAACCGATAGAATGCAAGCCATGGATAACCAGAGAAGTATTGTTTCTACAATTAAATGCATCTGAAAATAATAATATAATTAAATGTGCGTTCAATTCGCGCATTAATCAATGAATTTAAGAATAAATAATATTTCATTTTGATAATACATATACAGTACAATACATGTTCATCACTTATTCTGTAAATGTAAATGTATTTATTGTTGACTGCAATAGAAAATAGATATTTAATATTCTGTTGTGTTTCGTGAAAAGAGTTTGTATTATTTGACAATACTTTAATTATTTAGCATATGTTTTATTCCATCGTTGAGTCCAATGATTAGTAAAAGTACTTAAATATTAAGACTTATAAATAATTAATCAGTTCTCCACTAATGAAGACCTGTCTTGTCTTATATGACAAACAGTGATCACTGATCACTCGTTTACTAAATTGGGTTAATATTAGTTAATGCTTGGATTTGTCAGTTCTTCGCCGTATCGCTAAAAGTTAAGTTTAGGTAATATTTTTCACCACAATTCAGCCATGAATAATGTGGTTTATAGGACCCCCCTTCTCCGTCCCCCCGCTCTATGGGATACAGCTGAAATCTATCGTAATACTTTAATGTTATCCTATGGGTAAAGTTTATCCTCTGGGAAAAATTTTCAATGGGTTTATATGGGATTACAGCTTAAGTCTATGACATGGGTAATGTTAAGTCTATGGGACTAATGCTAATCCTATGGGTAATGTTATCACTAAAAGACTAATGCTAATCCTTTGGGGAGTTCTAAATTAAGGGGAAATGATAAGTCTATGGGCAATGCTATTATGCTATAATATATGAATAATAATCATTCTGGTTAATTCTGTAGATAATGCTAATATATTCTTTGAGAATCACCCGAATGGCATCGCTGTGTGATCTTTGGTTACAATTAAAGTAATATCAGTACAAATTATTTGCAGTTATTTAATATTTTAATGGAATTATTAAAAATATTTCCGCTCTCAATATAATAAGTATTAATTATTGACATCAAAATATTCTTTTGGTGATAATATTATGTCTATAACATGGATGTTATCCTCATTTATATGTCAATTCTCTATTCTATTTGTAGATTTTAACCAATTAATAGATCGAATATAGTATAATTTCACCGCAAATAGAGTATAAATAAGCATGTGCATTGTTACATGTTCAAAATGTTTAATTTATTATCATGTAAATTAAGACATGTTAAACGTTATAATACTATTTTATTTTTAATATTTACATTTAGTATATTAATTTAATATACTTGACTTATGTCTAAAAACTTTTAATAAATGATGATTACTTAGTTAGTATGAAATGAATTTAAACAACTGAATTATTTTTTGTGACTATTTACATGTTTAAATTATAAAATTATAAATTTTATCACAATTTCCATAAAACGATAATAATTTACAAACGTATTCCCAAAATGCAATATAAAAATATTTTGACCATTTTATGACTCGATATATTCATAAACTGCCAATAATTGAGCGCATATTCTTCTATAAATCAACTTTTTAGCCAATGTTCTATTGGATTATAACAATGCTATTGAAGTATATTTACAGTTAAAGATTTTAGTGAATTGGGAATATATTTATAAAAAGCTTCTAGCTCGTTCATGTTAGCAACTATCCGGCTTTACACAATTCTACATTAACTGTAATAAGATAACCGCTTGCATAATAAACCCATTGCACACAACATCTTATGTGCAGATCTGGTGTTACTCTATGTCTTGAGAAGAGATTATTCTCTGGAAGAATAAAAACAACCATTTGATCGAAAGTGTGAAAAAACAGTCAAATTCTGGAATTAATATTGATTCAATTGGCACAATATTTATACGTTTAAATCATTTAAAATAAAATTATATTTGATAATGCTAGAACATTTTCCCCACAAAGGAATGTCTATCTATACGAATATTTTTAAATTGAGGAAAATTATTAAACTTTTCTTTAAAAAGTGTGTTTTAAACTTTATTTTTCACAAAAAATACTAAAATTGTGGGAATATTTGTGTAAATAAGACTACTTTTCCTCTATTAAATCGTATTCATCTCATTAAATGCTCTTTTATAGCCCACGACTAACTCCATGTCATTCCCGAATATTTTAATATTTAATTTTATTCGGCAATTGCCGAACATTCGCTAACAATGTCTAACAGTGCAAATAGTCTACATTTATACTACTGTTTATAATATAAACTTTAAATGAAGATGCATTTAATGAATAAATATAATTTAAGCCTCAAATACTGATTCTGTTTCATAATTTGCAGAAATGTCTTAAAGTTATCTCTTTTATGGATTAAATTCATAATTTTGAGAAAATCGTAAAATTTAATCAAATATTTAATGTTTTAAAGAATGTGTTATTATTTCGGATGTAATATCTTATAAACTCATGGAAAGTAATAAAAGTGATTTTCACGAACTAAACTTTAGTACTGTAGTTACTAAAGGATCATTGTAAATTATAAAGACATTACATTCATTTGAATTTTACATAGCTGTTACAATATATAAAGTACAATAGACATCACCTTGGTTAATTCCAACTTGCATTAGCAAACATGTTTTTAAACTTGAACTTAAGATTTATTTGTTTCTCTTAAACGTAAATCATAGATTTGTTTGCATTACAATGTGTTACAATTACAGTGTAACTTCCTTA